AATTTATGAATGGAATATTGATAGAATGTCCGAATACAACATCTTCTGTGCCATTCAACGAATGACAATGGTATAAAGCATATACAAAACCCAAAATCAAACGGGCCAAACTACAAATCATTCAATAGCAACTTAAAAGATGGTGGGACAATTATCTTACCACAAAACAACAACAAGAAATATCAAAAGCTATCAAAAGGATGATGAAGGAAACAACACTCTAAAAGGAAGAGAAATCCAAGATGTTGTTGCAACCTTCATCTTCTCAATCTCAAAACACTTTCTAAGTGACCCTCTACACCTTAAAGATTGAAACTCAAAATTATTATCAAATTTAAAATGCAGAAAATAACAGATTTTAAATGGTTCAAAGGCATATTTATGGCAAGAGTAATGCAAAAATCCGATAATCAACAACTTTTCTGGAAAAAAAAAAATTCTAGCAGGACTTCCTACACTATTAGGAAAAAAGTTAAAAACCAAATAAGAGATATTTATAAAGGAATAATTCCTTATGAAAATCTTACATATGGCAAACTCATAAGCTTCACCCAAAAAGAGGGATTAAAAATTTGTCAAGATTTAAAACTTTAAAAACAATTAAAAAAGGAAAGATATCTTTACAGAAAAGAATTAGGATCATTTTGTCAACAATTTGACATCAAACATGAACCTTTTTCTTCAAAAACCTATTGTCGTATAAAACCAAAAAAAAAAGATAAACATAAAAAAGTATCCCAAATTACTACAACAAACCAAAATACAAGAGGCATAGAAAAGAGAAACAAAAGCAAAACAAAGAAAGTAAAAGAAACAAAAGAATAAAATGTTTCAAAAGTGGAAAAGCTTATCACATTTCAAAATTCTGCAAAATTAGAAGAAAAATAACAAACTTCACATAGATGAAGAAATTGAACAAAAAATTAATGAAATTCTACTAGAATTGACAACATCAGACTATGGGATGTCTATAAACACGGAATCTTTAAGTGAGTTCCAAATAGATGAAATACAAATTACATCTCAGTCTTCAACAAATAATGAAAAACAAATTAATGTCCTAACCAAAGACTAAGAACTCATTATTGAAATTATTGATAAAATTCAAGACTCAACATTGAAAAGAGAATATCGTGATAAATTAAAATTTTTAATAAAAGAAAAAACAGAAAAACCTACAATTACAAATCAAGAACACATGTATAATATAAAAGATATTCTATTTGACATATATGAATCTTCAAACCTAGACAAATAACAAATGCAGAACTATAGTCAAAAATTAAAGAAATAAAAGTGGAAATTTCCAAACTCGGGAGCTAACAAAGAGAAATTAAAAACCAAATAGAATTCCTACAAAATTCAAGAGTTCTAATAGAAAATTCTTCCTTAGATATAGAGGCAGTACTAGAAGAATCACAAAAATATATGATGGTTCTTATAGAAGAATCAATACAAAGATACTTAATTAAAATACACCTTTTAATCAACGAAAATTTCAACTAGAAACAATAGTACTTTTTAATACTGGTGTAGATCAAAATTGCATCAAAAAAAAGATGATTCCAACAAAATATTATGACAAATTATCAGAAGGCCTTAAAATTGCTAATGGTGGTAAACTTAAAATTATGCACAAAATTCCTAATGCAAAAATTTGCATCAATGGAATCAAATTTAAAACTCTTTTTCTAATGGTAAAAAATATGACCCAAGACATCATACTAGGCACATCATGCATATCCTTGCTTAAACCATATAAGATTACAAATCAAGCAATTGCTACAAAAATATTAAAAACCAAAGGAATTTTCTCCTTCATAGAAAAACCAAAAATAAGAAATCTCAATTTACTAAAATCTTTATCAACACATACAAGCCAACTCAATTCTCTAATAAATCACAAACAGAAACAAATTACTTACTTAAAAGCAAAACTCTCTTTTAAAAGGATAAATGAATAATTAGGTGATAAATTTGTTCAACAAAAAAATTGAACAAATCAAAAAAGAAATTGAAAAAACAATTTGTTTTGATATTCCCAATGCCTTTTGGGATAGGAAAAAGCATGAACTAGACTTGCCTTATGAAAAGAATTTTGATGAAAAACAAATTCCTATTACAGCAAGACCAATCCAAATGAACAAAGAAAAGGAAAAATTCTGTAGAAAAGAAATACAAGATCTTCTCGAGAAAAAACTTTTAAGGAAAGCAGTTCACTTTAAAGCTGTTCTGCTTTCCATGTTATAAAAAGTACAAAACTAGAAAAAGGAACACCAAGATTAGTAATAAATTACAAACCATTAAATAAAGTATTAATATAAATTAGATATCCAATCCCAAACAAATTTGTTACAAATATTATGTAATGCAAATATTTTCTCCAAGTTTAACATGAAATCAAGATTTTGAAAAATCTAATTTAGGAAAATGAGAGGTATAAAACAACATTTGCTGTCCCTTTTGGCCAATTTGAATGGAATGTCATGCTGTTTGGTCTAAAAAATGCATAATCAGAATTTTAAAAGATAATGAATGAAATATTTAGTCCGTATTCCTAATTTGCTATTGTTTACTTAGATGATGTCCTAGTGTTTTCTAAAAATTTAGAAAAATACTTTAAACATCTAAAAACTTTTATCAACATAATTAAAAAAATTAAATTAGTAGTCTCCATATCCAAAATTAGTCAATTCCAAACCAAAGTAAGATTTTTGGGTCATTATGTAATCTAAGGAACCATTACGCTGATAAAACGATTCATAAACCTTGTGAAAAATTTCCTGTTCAAATTTTAGATAAAACCTAACTCCAAAGATTCTTCTTAATTATGTCATTGATTTTTATTTTGGCCTTAGCAAAATATGTAAACCCTTGCATGAAAGGCTCAAAAAGAATCCTACTCCTTGGACTCCTACACACATTGATCTTGTCAAGCAAATTAAATTACATATTAAAGAACTCCCTTGTTTGCATCTAGCAAACCCAAGTACCTTAAGAATAGTAGAAATAGATGCCTTAAACATAAGATATAAGGGTATTTTTAAGCAAGTTAAAAATCAAAGGAACAAATAGTCCAATTCACTTGGAAACATTAAGCGCCTACTCAGCAAAATTACATTACTATCAAAAAGGAAATTTATATGTTATTTTATGTTTTTCAAAATTAAAAAGTGATTTACTCAATAAAAAATTTCTTCTACGAATTAATTGTCAATCAGCAAAAGAAGTTTTGTAAAAAGATGTCCAAAATATTACTTCAAAACAAATTTTTACTAGATGGCAAGCAAGTTTAAGTATTTTTGACTTTGACATTGAATATATCAAAGATTTTCTTGTTAGAGAATTTTTACAGGGAAAACCATGCCACCAAAATTGAGAGATTAAAAGAAAAAAAAAAGAAAGAAAAATAAGAGTTTCCTTCCTAAAATCTTCCCTAAAGATCAATCAAATCATGGTACAAAATTTGTATTCAAGAAAATGAACAAAAGGGAGAAAGCACCTTAAAAATATTCAAAATTTACCAAAAAGCCCAAGATCCAAATGAGCTTGACTCACAAATCAAAAAATGGATTAAGTCTCTTTCTCAATCCCCAAAAATAACTCTGGCACTCACCTCCCAAATCAATAAAGACACTCCTCGTAAACAAATTGCTATTACTACAGCAGAATCCTCAAAAGGCATAGAGGTTGTTTGCACAAACACAAACCTCTCCAAACTATTTTCCCAACATCACAAACAATGTCCTCTTTTCATAAGAGTTCTCCTCAATACTTTCGCAAAAAGTTTTATTAATTGAGGAAGGATTTTATGAAAAATCCCCCAATGTTGCAATTCAAAAAGCTTTTCAAAGATGGCACTACAAATTGTGAGATCTACAAAAACCCACCAATAGTATTATCAAAATATTTCGATTCAAACAAGGTCTGTATTGTTTAAACACTAAACAAAAAAAAAAGATTATCCTGAATTCATTACTATCCACTAAGCCAAAAATTTCAGCCTGAACCAAAATTAGATATCTCTATCCACTTCCTTTCAAAATTAACTATCTATTGGATAACTTCATGGGACCATACATATGATATTTATACCCAAAATGGTGCCTCCACAATAATGCGAACCTTCAAGACCAAGTAGTGGGACAAGTTTAATAATAGAAAATATGATGTACAATATCTTGATAACTAGTTCAATAAGAACCTAGCATTATGTAAGATAGCTACCTCAAATCAAGAAGTTGCAAGATTTTAATAAGCAAAATCAAATGCAAGTGCCCTACAAGTGCACCACTTGCCCAAGAAAAAAATAAACAAGAATACAAGATCATGACAGAAATGCTTCAATCCATTAACTCTGATGAAGAGGATAAACAAGAACATGATAAGTCATCTAACAGAACTGTTAACCAAGACCAAGACGAACACTACATACCACTAAGAATGAGCAAAAGAAAAAAAAAGTACCTTTGAAAATATAAAGGCAAAAGTATCCTTGAGACTTGCAAGACATCTTTGAAAAGTAAAAAAGACAAAATTATCTCCTGGAACTTGTAAGGCCTCTCTACAAAGCAAAAACATATCTGAAAAGCAAATGAGACAAAAACACCCTTAGGACTTGCAAGGCATCTTTTGTAAAAAAAAAAAAATTCAACATTTTAATAAATTCTCATAAATTTTTTAAAAGAGTTATTATTGACAAAAAAGAAAACCTATCTACACAAGGCTCCCATTGTATTCTAAACAAAGCAAAAGCTCAAATCGCTTTTAAAAAACTTCTTTGTAAAAACTCTTTTAAAATGAAAATTCTAAACTCTTTTCTTTAAGTTTTTTTTTAAATTTTCTTCTCGTTAAAATTTATTTTAATCTTCTTTTTAAAACAAAATTACCATCCAATGTTCCTGCTATACTTTGTAGTCAAATTTTATTGATCCAGTGATCTTGCAAGCAATCTAATGTATGTGTGTGTGTGTGTATATATATATAGACAAAGAGAGAGAGAGAGAGATTGCTTGTTTGGAATAATACATTTTGCAACTCCTCGAGCCAAGACTGATTGCAATCCTTACTAAATTTGCCATACACCCTTACATTGGAAATAACATTTTCATTACAGTTATTCACATTTTTCATATAATTCCGTACAACATATTTCTTGAGTTACATATTACATCGAGGTCATGCAACCACCAATCATTATCCAAGCTCATCTTGCAGAAGAATCTCGTAAATATCTGTCCTCAGATTCAATTCCTTATCCCTCATGACTTCTTGAAGGTCTGACAGCTCTTTTGCCGTTAGGATGGAGTCTAATTTGAGGAAACCATCAAGCCATAGCTTTTTCGACCTGGGAATTATATGGATCAACGTTAAGATGAGGATTACAAAAAAGTGGAACCTACATCTTAAAAGTTTAAATGTACTAAAAGTTGTGAGGCCCACTAATCCTACTCGAATCTATAGCAATTTTCATACATACAATACATGCAGAATAAGGCTTGAGCATGCACCAATAAGAAATGCTTCCCTTAAAGCCAGGTCAACTAATTAAGTAATGAAGGTTTATTCTATGATGACTGACTATGTCAAAACACGTCAGGTGAGAACAAAGATGCAGCACAAGAGAATCTAAGCAGCTGAAAAGAACTTTATTCCAACTATTCTGAATTCATTGATTCAGAAGTTACCTAAAACATTTAATCCAGCTTCTTGCAGCAATTATCAAACTTCTTTTTCCTCTTAATTATATAATCCTATGCAGATTTCCTATTTATGATGCTTCACCAACTTTTATCATTTCTTCATACAGAACCACTTGTACTAGCCACAAATAGAAATGTTAATATATTTCCAAATAGAAAGCATTTATAATATTTTCCTGATTTTTTTTGAAATGCGGAATTTATTGGCCATTAACCGATAAACCATTGATGGTCTCGAACTGGAGCTGCCAGAGACTTTCATTGGTATGAAAGAAAACCGGTATGGCAAGAAAAGCCAGAACAAAAAGGTTCACACACTGCTTACATAATATTTTCCTGATAACATCAATCCCCTACATCTTAAGCTTATGGTCAAAGTAAAGAAGCCTCTCCATAAGCCTCCTTCTAAACTTCTTTATTTGTTGGTCCTCACTTTTCATTCCAATTTACCACTATTTTAGACTCACAAATTGGAGGAAGTTGCAAATGACTAGCAGGTTAACTGCATTGGTTTGAGATTGTAGTTCATGAAGCTTTGGTCTATGGCCTTCCACATTATAGCCAGTTCTTTCAATCATAAGCAGCCAGTATGGTTTACATAACATCAAGGGAGAAACCACTAACCATGGGCAGGCATGAATAGCACGAAAGAAAGTTCGCCTTGCTGCAGATGGATTGCGCATTATGTTAATCTCATATGAAATGTACCAACGCCAGAGTATAACTGAATTATGCAATTGATCATTGGCTAGTGCCCTCTCAAACAATCCATGGATCCTATGCATGGAGCCCCTCCGACTCATCTCAAATATTAATGCAAAAAGCCAAACAATAACTGATGGTTTCCTGAGAATGTTTACAGAATAACAATGTCACTATAAGTTAAAAGAAATATGGAGAAAATCATGACCCAAATCAATGCAATTTGTTCCAAACCCAAAAGATAACTTGCAACAAATTGCTAAATTTAAAGAAAAAATTCATTCAAAATATCTGGTTAATTCATTTATGTAAAGAGAAATGGAAGGCAAAATATGACTTTTATGACTCATGTATTATGACTGAACAATAGAAATACTCAATCAAAATTAAAAAATATGTACATAAAAATTCACTTAATGAAGCTGGCAGTTCCCAAAGGTAAAAAAGAGAGCCCAGATATGACAATCTCCAACATGAATTACTTCAACTGTTGAGCATACATTTTGATTTTCAATAGCTTTAATAAAGAGCCAATTTCCATTCAAAAACAAGTCCAATTTAAAGGGAAGTAGAATGTCAAAGAAAAGATTTAAAGCTTCTTATTAACATCAGTGTCCAAAAAATTTAACGTAAAAATAAACAGTTAAATGCCCTTACTTAAATGGTTTTTAACATAAGATTTAGCATTGTTTGTCAAAAATAGAGTGACTTTCCCTTCACATGAGTCTATTACTCTATTTACCATTGTTCAACCCATTGATTATGATGATAACAAAACACTCCAAATGATAATTGATGAAGCGGTTAAGGCTTATTTGAGCTAAAATGGAGTCTTCATTATCATCAACTCCAAAAGAACATACTTGAAGGTGAAAAGAACAAAGTTAGTTGGATGAATATGATTGATAAAGAACAAGTTCAACTTAACCAGATAAAGTGTTTTTCTTAATGATTAAGTGCAATTGAGGCAAAAAAGGAAGAAAAACTGAGGGAATAAAACTTAACTAGTTAAATGTTTTTACTTAACTAGTTAAATCTAGACAGAAGCTTAAAAGAAGTATGAGCAACGCACCTCAACCAGTTAAGAGTTTTGGTTTAGTTAAGTGCATATAGGAAGTCTAACTAACTAGTTAAAGGAAGTTACATAACTAGTTACAATTTTAAATTTCAGTTCAGGGTCACTTCTTATCTAGTTAAATTATTTTTGTCAAGTATTCCAGAACAAAACCAAACTGTTGTCATTTCAGAAATGTGACACATCTATAATAGCCATTTCCCTCTCAAATGGCTAAATTTTGAAGACCCACTATAAAAGTGACCACAAAGCGATATCTAAAGTAACTAGAATGTTGAAGGATTAGAGCTGAAAAATCAAATGTTATCTAGTTCTTTATGCTTATGCTCATATTCAGTGTTGTAAGCTTGAACCGTATTGGTGTATACAAACATTTTGAGTGATTAGTTAGACATTCTTTGAGCTGTAAACTTATGAGATTGAATGTGGAAAACAATCTTTGGGATTGTAATTTGGTTTTCTTTGAGTGTAAACTTATGAGATTGAATGTGGAAAACAGTCTTTGGGATTGTAAATTTGGTTTTCTTTGAGTGTAAACTTATGAGATTGAATGTGGAAAACAGTCTTTGGGATTGTAGTTTGGTTTTTCAAACTTCGTTAGCTCCCTTATAAATGTTTTGTGTAGGCTGTTAACTCCACTGGTTTAGTGAAAATTTAGATTGAAAATCCTTGACAAGGGTTGTTGAGGAAGAAAATGAAGGTCAAGCAAACAGAACTACTATTTATCACTTTGCATTGTCTACTCTCAACCCTTCCTTATTTGGTGAACTCTACACCTAATTCATATACTTACTTTTCTTAGGTTTCGTCTTATTTCAGCTTAAAGTTTCAAATTTCTATAGAAGTGCTATTCACCCCCTTTCTAGCACTGCCCACTTAGGATCAACAACCACCAAAACATTTTAAATGCTTACATGGCAAAATCAACATTCTCTATAGATAAGTGTCTTCCCCAATCAACTTTTGCAATATATAAACAAGAAACAATGCCTACACATTGCAAGGTAGATTCCTTTTTATATGATAAATAGATATTGATATGAAATGAAGAAAATAAGTTAGGAGATAATTAATTGATTAATTTCACCTAATATTTTATTTATATAGAGTTTGTATATTTGTTTAAACTAACAAGTACCTAAACCATTCTAAAAATGGAAGCAGATCTGAGTTTTTTGTTACTGTATGCATAAGGTAGAAGAAAATGCTTGGTTATAAATTCAACAACTAATATAAGATTCTTCCCTTTCAAAAAGTTTGCATAATGAAGTTAAAGGGTACTAAAACAAATATCATTTTAAAGATGATGAAAACAACATATATAGATATTTAAGACATTGTAAAATCTTGTCAGTTTCCAACACTTGCATATTATTTACCACCTTCGAAACTGTACTCATCAACAAAAATTATAAAGTAACTCTATTTGAACTTCCACACTTACATAGAGTTTTTGCCTTTACTTTATGACCTAGTCAGCCCACAATTTTTACATACTAAATTTTCCATAAATTTCCTTTAATGATTTTTCTACTTTTGCCTTCTTGGCATTTCCTTCCACTATATATTATCACAAATTTTACACCAAAAGTTCTCAATGCTTGGATTCAATCTTTTAGCAAAAATTAAATTTCAGGAAACTTCAATAATGAAATCTTCTCATTTGTCACTCATTTCATTTTATTTCTCTATCAAGTTTGATCAATTTCCTTAACATTTTCTACTCAAATTCCTGTCAGTTTATAGTTGTGTTTGTTTTGTTTATTTTTCAAAAATTCTTCTGGGCAATGGAAAATGTACTTTATATAAATGATTAAATTGGTGGCGGGAAACCACTCTGGACCTGCCTTGAGTCTCAACAGTTGGAATATTACCACATCAGAAATAAAAGAAAAATAAGAAAGAAGTTGAAAATCAAGGATGAAATTTATAAACTAAAGTACCATACAGAAATAAAAGTAAAAATGAGAATAAATGTTATGTTTTCAAAACTTTATAATGAGTTTGAGCCTTATCCAACTGGGTTTATAATGAGAATAAACCCTCATCATTCCCACCTTTTTTCTTCATTTACCTTATTTAGTCACACGCATAGCATCTGACAAGATTTTCTAGTATAATAATGTTATAGAATATAAACAACGAAAACAGGGAGGACTACTTGTTTACTTCAACAAAGATGGGATCTCCATCCTCTGCACTTCTTCCATTAAATTAAGATAATTTCCTCACAAAATATATAACATATGGCATGTGCTTCCTAAAACTGAAAGCAGGACCTCGAACAGTTTACAGACACAAGGAAGATGATCTTACTTGTGACAGTAGTCATCAAACATCCGCCGCAATTTATTAGGAGTTGTGTAAAGACAGCTGATCTCCACTAACGCATTAAAGAGTTCTGGGCTGGAAGGATATATTTTTAGCCCGTGTGTGACAGACTCCCAAGCTTTGGACAAAGTAAATTGCCCATGATGTCTCTGAAGCATCCTAATATAATAGTTGAATAGGCATTCCAGATGGTAACTTTGGCTTCTTCTTTCTGCAAATCACAAGAATTTAGCCTGTTGCATTAAAGGAACCAGGTAGCACTATCAATCAAATTATAGGGAAAATTTTTTGGTCCAACTGCCTTTGTGAAAAAATATTTTTCCTACAGATTAATATACTTCAAATATTGAATGACATATCACCAGAAGAACACTCCAGCATATAGAAATTGAGATCCCTACTTGCAGGTTTCATGTTTAAATACTAGAAGGAGAGGGGTAAGGTTTCCGGAATGGGCGAGGTTACCTCCCATTATGAAGCTCAAGATCATTTATACCCAAAAAAAAAAATAAAAATTCACATGACATGCAGTACAATTATAGTTGAAACCGGTTGGTATTAGAATCAATACCTCGTTATTAGAATCAATAAATAAACCCATCTTGAACTGCAATACATAGCTAAAACTTGTACCATAAGACCTAGAAAGTCCTTTTTGGGTGGAGACTCCTGCATTACTCTTTTTAACAGATCCTCTGATACATTCATAATTGCCATTCATGTCCACGAGACTCCCATACATGTGAATTATCATGACAGGTGCATTAGATAGTGTTGGATTAAACACTAATGAAAATGAGCCAATAAGTCTTTTTCCTTATACGAAGCAACACTAATGCTATCCTAAGGAAGAATTCTTAACACTAACAAGTGTAAATCTATCGTCCTGTCAAGCATGAGATGCACAACTAAAACTACCATGTCCTCAATAGTAATGGACAAGGCCAATAACTAATATCACTTCACAATCAGAGACTTTGCGAATTGCAAAATCATATTATTCATTAATGATTATACTTACAGCCTGTTTGGTTAGCTGAACAATCAAATTTACAACCCTAAAACCATCAATTTGGACTGAACCACAATCAAATATCTATCAAACCCACTACCGAAATTCACATCAACCCCAAAGAGTATGGTAACCTCGATTCGTTGGTTTGGATGATTATGTTTTAATATTTAAGACAAAAAGGTTGAAATCAAGGGAGATTTGGAGACACTGATGACTGGTTTAGAACAAAAAGATGGGATTGGTTAAAGATGAGAGGAGGCCAAAGGGAAAAAAAATTTAAAGGGCTATAAGTTTGTGCCAACAAGTGCTACCACCAACAATGACAAAAACAGAAAAAGAAAGAGAAGGAAAAAGCAATGATGGGAGAAAGAGCCGCTTGAGAAAGAAACTAAAGTAGAGGCTGTGGGAGAAAGGGAAGCCAAAAAGAGTGAAGGAAGGGAGATCGGGGGAGGGAAAAGAAGTCACCAGCGAAGGGAAAGCGCGGTAGTGGTGGCTGGTCTAGTCTTGGATTAAGAAATTTTGGGGTTTGTGCAAAAGAAGAAAGAGCCTTTGGCTCTTTGGAAATTGTCTTCCATTCTAAAAAGACAAACAAAATGGATGACGATTCCCTTGGTTTTTGGTCTTCCTTTCAGTTGACCATGACAATTTTTGATATCCAAACACCAGAAAATCAGAAAAATGACTTCTAGAAGCCATTTTCCTAATTACAAATGGAGCCTAAACAACTTGATCTTTTCCAACCAAGCCTTGAACAAAGAAATATAGATTTGGATGAATCAGCCCCCAAGAATTCCTCAAAATTCTTCAAATGTCTCCTATAAAACATGCAATCTCAAAAAAACACTCAAGAGAATAATCTCAATTGCAAAATCTCAAGTCACTAGTCTCAATATTCATTTCTCAATATCAAAATAATACTAGTCAAATGCCAAAATCTAAAGTCTAACTAAACCCCTATTTATATGACCTTCAAAATGCTAAATTTAAGGCCACATAAATAATATAAACCCACCTAAATAAATAAAACAAATCCAAACCAGCCCAAATAATAAAAAATCCAGTTTTCTAAATTTACACCTAGCATCTATCATCTGAAAACTTGGATCTCATGCTTATTTGCAAGATTTGCCTAGTCATTTAATTATTAGTCCTGTTTCCAGTGCGGAAGACTTGTTACCTTATAGAGGTACCTTTGAGCCTCCAATATTACCTTAGAGTAATTGACCTGTTTTCTAGGGGTGTCAGTTTCAATTTCAGGAAAAGAAGAAAATTTTAGACTGTATTTCAGATAGGCAGACTATATTTTCCACTTATGGCCCGTCATTTATGACAATATCTTGTTTAGTGGAAACACCAATGATGCGGGATAGCAAGAGGCTAGGATTTATGTGGTTATTTTATCTAAATACTTGAGTAAAACAGGAAATTTAAATCATGACAAGGGAAAAGAAACAAGATCCCTAAACTTCACATCTAGAGTTTCTTGATCACAATTGAGAAGAAAGAAAAGAATCTAAGTTTCATACTCATATAGCATTATTTCAAAAATCATGCAGCTACTTTAGTATTACTTTTCTGGTAACTTCTACAAATAAAAGTTTGTCAAAGAAAAATGTCCATAGAATGGGTAAATAAGCTAATTTACGAAGAAAAGGTAAAGAACCTTGAAGGTGTTAACAGTATTAAAGAATAAAAGGGAAAAAAAAAAAGAAAAAGACATGATGAATACCTGGAAGCACCAATGTAAAAACACCATCTATTATTTCAATACCCGCAGCCCATCCAGCAGTCAACTCTTCAAACAAAGCTGCCGCACAAACTAGGGCAACTGACTGATCATCAACAAAACCTCGCATCCATTTTGATCTTAATGCGCTTATTTTTTCTTTATACCCTTGGCGTGCTCTCAAAAGTTGCAAGCTCGATGGATGACCTTTAAATGGACTGTAAGTCACACCACTTCCTAGGCACGACAGAATATGCATCGCACGTGAAGATGATTCAAAATTATAACCATGATTGTGTCCAAGTTCAGCCTCAGCATACCATAAATATAGAAGAGGAGAATTAGCCTGTAGATCCTGCTCTTATGAATAAGACTATTATTAACATCTTTATATTGAAAGAAGACAAAAGGATTAAATGACTGCATTTTTGCACACAGAAAATGGGTGAAAATTTTCAAAAATTTGTGATGTCAAATCATGTATAATAAACTTCAAGCATTCCTTTTTACATAACGGGGAGGAAAACCAAAGATAGCATTGCTAAAACAAAAAGTTAGATCAGAGAAATAAACAGCTAGAACAGTTTAGAACAGAAAATCATCATAAGTCTACAAAGATCACTGGAAACGAAGATAACTTGAAAAAAAAAAATCAAAGGAACTGAATGAATTTGTGACAGCAAAAAAAGCTAAACTATTTAATTGCCATCAATATAAGCATTTAAATAAAGAAATAAAAACAATTTAATCTCATAAAAGGCGAATACTACTCACTGCTATAGCAAAGCTGTCAACACCAATCTGTCTCCTTATTAAAACAAAATTTAAATTTATTTCATTGTAGCCAATCATATGTACATGGTCTGACGCATAGAAATCAATGGCACTTGTGTAATTCATGTGTTGTGTACTGACTGAGAAGAAAATTTTAATTTCAATGACGTTTTTCAATACTTTTGGTTACTCATCTTGAAAACTATTTAATAAGATATCTTTAACCAAACACTATTGAAATGTTAAGTGTTAAAACCTACTTAATGAATTTAATCAGTATTATTATCATTTGGCTAAATTACTCCTTTGCTTCAACTTTCAATTAAAATTTCAGCACCTCAGTTCCAAGGCATTAGTAACATCATGGGCATTAGTATTGGCAATGGAGGTTATTGTGCAGAACTGCAGGAGCAGTGGTGACTATGGTGGCTACAGTGGCTACTGTTTTGCCATTAACATATACTGGAAATAGGGAGGTGAAAAAATACTGATCCCTGCCACCCTCCTCAATCAGGGATCAACCTTGATCCTTGTCCCTGCCTCCACTCTAAATATTCATACTATATCATTATATATTTACCATATAAAAACATACAATGGGGACAGGGTGCGACAAGCAAGGACGGATCCATAGTGGGGGCAGCTGGGGCAGCTACCCATACTGAGATTTTAAACATCTTTTAAGGTATAGGAAAAAGAACCTCAAAATTATTTTATTCAACTTGTCCCCCCACTACAGATTCTTTTGTCATATTTGCCCTCACTAAATATCCACGGCAAGCAGAATTCCACACCTACAGTGAATATGTTGGGTCAGTAATTCTATTCATCAGAGCATTAAAAACTCACCAATGGAAGCCCAGGAAGTGACAACAATGCCATGTCAAATACTCTCCTGGCGTGATCCATATTCCCATACACAGCCTCTCTACGAGCATAGATTCCACAGAGCAAGAGATCCTACAATAACAAAGTACTAAAATAGATATACTAAAAGCAGAAACCAGAAAAAGAACTCCATATTGCAAGAGCAAATCAAATTACATTTTTGATTTGATTTCTGAAAAATTCAGACATTTGACAAACCAAAGGACTCCAACCATGCCATGAACATGTTAAATTGCTCCCACATTCCTGAACATACTCCGCCATTACTTGCTATTTATTTTAGCAAGCTAGTCTCAATCAGATGCCATGATAATGACAACATATTGTATTTAGGTGACGTTTAGTACTTTACAATGCAATGTGATTACAAGTAATGTGATTGCAAGCAATGTGATTGTAGAAAAGATAACATTGCAGTGTTTTAATATATAAGCAAAGATTGAAATATAGGAAAGATAACATTGCAGCATTTGATTTACAAGTACTTTACTAGGAATGTAATGTCAATTTTCAGAATTACCCCTATTTATTAAAATACAAGTTTAATATACTTGTATTTTTTATTATTAATTTTTATATAATATCATCTCTTAAATATAATTTTAATATCATATATTTTATTTTTATTTTTTATTATAATTTTATATATTTTATTTTCATTTCTTAATATAATTTTCTATATTATATTTCATTTAAATTTCTTTTTCCTTTAAAAGATAATATAAATTTTATTGACAATCACCATGACTACTGAAAATAATAAAAAGACATCCTCGAAATCTATATAAAAAAAAACAAATTATAACATTATAAAATATTTTTAACAAAGTAACAAAGTTGAAGGGCAAAAATGCCTTTAATAACGTTGTAGAATGCAATGCAATCTGATTGCGCTGCAATCTCACATTACAGTGATTTATTGTAAAATAAGCACTACAATGTAATTTAATTGAACACATTGCAAAGAATGTACTCCCACTTCCCTTATACCAAACGCTACCTTATGTTTATTCAATCTTCATTTCATCATTATTTTTGCTACTTGCATTTTGTTATTTGCTTTTGCTTCCAAGGAAATTGCTAAAAAGCAAAAACAAATGCAAATTGGAAAAAGAATCATAATTGATCAAAAATGAATAAACACCTAAAATTTAATACCAATCCAAACATAACCATTATACATAAAAGTAAAAGCATGCATTTTGTTCTCTAGAATAATTACAGTGTTCTTTTTTATTATTCAAAGATATTATTCGCTTTCATAACAAAAAAGTCTAACAAAAGCATTAAACCAACGGAGTCTTAATACACCAAAATGTGAAAACAAGAAAAGGACAAAGAAAAGATCATGAATAATTTGAAGCAAAAGCATCTTATCCTTTTTTTTTTTTATGGTATATATGGGAGTTACAAGGGAGAGTAAGGATTCCAACCTTGCACCCAAGAAATGTAATAATCACTAGGCCAAGCTGAATTGTTGTAAAATCATCCCATCCGATAAGTAGAAAAAGCTTAAAAAAGATATTTTCCTATAATCAATAAAACAACAGAAGAAATCTAAATTTGCATCACTACATAAACTAACATGACACAAACATTCAATGGTGGATAAAGACTAAATATACCACTATGCACCGTAAACTTTTAGCAACCTAAGGATATGTTCAAACAAAAGAAAAAACTGGAGAAACAATTGAAAGAACTTGGAAGCAAACTTGTATTCTATCACCCAAGTGAAAGAACTCAAATGAAAACTTGTTATTCTATCACCAACTGTATTATTTCTTTCCCAATGACAGAAAAAAATACAAAGACACTTCACAGAGAACATCACTATTGCTGCTGAATTAATGGAAACTATCTAAAATATTCACTATGAGCGTATTATCAGTTGCAACAAAAAGAAATCATGCATTTCATGATAATAAATTAAAAATTTCTGCCAAAGGAGTTACAAGATCCCCTTTAGACAGGTTGAACAAATAAAAAATACCTGCCGATCACATTTTAGAAGGTGCTTTGCCAAAGCCTGACATGGGGTGACTGAACAGCTAGATGAGTTCATTTTTGTTACGAAGAGTTCTTCTGCCAAAAGAGTAGCTTCTTCCAATATATGATTACGGGGAAAGGCAGTTAAGCAAAGTAATGCAGCATTGCGAAGAAATTTCATCATTTCAGTCCTCTGAGGGATGCCTCTTGCACTGTCCCAAAGGAATTCCAAACCAAATTGACCAGATTTATTCTGTAATTTGGTCAAGTCATCATGCATTCTTCTCATATTTTCCCCAATACAACCTGGTAGCTCCTCCAGGCCAAGAATTTTCTCAGTCCAACTGGAACTGTTGGTACAAACCCTAGAAAGAAAAAGAGAGAGAGAGAGAGAGAGCAAGGTTGCTGTAAATGACTTATTCATTTAAACCTGAAAATGTTAATATATCCTTACTAACACATTAACACGGTGTTACAAGTTTGCACTCTCCTGCAGCCATCCTTTCTAAACAACCTAAAACCAGGTCACTCTTGATTTTGAACAAAAAAATAACCCTAATATGAAGCATCATGCATTGACAAGCTAAAACAAAAGAATATAGTAGTGGCCCATTAAGCGCTCATACAAAAAATCAGCCATCTTTAAATACCAGAAATATGCATCTTCAGGTAACTTTTTCACATGGAAAGCATCTTGAGTAAAAATTCTGACCATTGACAGCATCCAAAACAGAGAAAATTATTGCAAATGAGTGTTTTCTGTGTAAGTCAACAGCATAATCAGTTTTCTTTCTGGGTAAAATCATTTTCTTCCTTCAAAGAATTTGAATATTCGTAATTCAAATATTTTAACTAAATTAGAGGTTCTAGGATACAAATTCGAAGTGAATCCATTTTTGGAAAGTTGTCAAAGCAGACTAGATAATCACATATACCTAAAAAACCAATAAGTACTGTCAGATTCAAACAAGTCTAAAAAAAATTGGCAATATTGAGAAATTTCAACCTAACTGAATCAATGCACAGTGCTGCTCAATTCTAATTACAAGAACAATCAACTCATACTATTTTCCTCTAGCAATACAAGCCTACACATTACACAAGCACTCTTTCATAAATGCATCAAAAAGTGGTTATCATCCATAGATTATGCTACCTTTACCATGTGGGGATCCAGTCAAATCAAATTAATTACCTGTTTGTATAAGATCACCAGTAACAAGCTATAACTACTGTTAGTCATTCTTCAAGCCTAAGCATACCATAATTCTATCATATAAACCAAACAGAAAATTAAGAGAGCATGTGAAGACTGAGATAAACCATCATCTGCCTACATATTTTCCAGCATCATACGTAAGAACCAAATTTTAAATATTTGTTTTGTGTGTACATGAGTATGTGTGCATGTTACAAAAACAGACAAAAAGGACAAGATGGTGGAGAGTTTATCACAGAACAGTGATGAAACAAAACAAAAAAGGACAGATTTGACACAAGAGCGCATCAAATTATTCAAAGGTGAATAAGGCGAAACTTACCAAGAGGAGATTTTCCCACCATAAAAATCAATGAACTGGAATACTAGAGATAAGCGAGCCTCTGCTGAGCTCAAAGAGAACAAGTATTCACTTACGTCTTCATATAATATCTCTCTCATAAGCTGTCCATCCACTTCTTCATTGGGTGTCCCATGAATTGAAGTAACTGCACCTGTTTTATACCAGCAAATTAACTACGTATGAATAGTTGCTCCAGATAATTGCAAATCATAATGTGAAAAAATATACTTACACATTACAAAAATAATACGACAAAATATGTAAAAATCTTGCATCTCAAAATAACAGAGATTAAATACTGTAGGAATAGGGACATATTAACAACAAAATATAAGCTTTTATATCCATATACCATAAATATTATATTTTTCCTAAAACAAAACAAATTCTTTAAAAAATGTAAAACTAATTACAAAGTAATAACAAAACAGACCCAAAGGAAAGCAGATCCTTAGTCCTAAATATACAGTCCAGATGACAAGTGAGGTTTCTTTGTCATTATAAATCAGAATAAATCAAAACAAAAAATGATGTCAAAAGAACAAGAACAAGATATAATATCCTAGAAAGTACAAATATAAATAAAAACTAGAGCAGCCAAAAGCTATAAACTTAGAGGCTCTCCACATATTTCCAGAAAAAATTAGAATTGACATAAGCTCTGATAGTAAGTTAAGAGTGGAGAGTACATATAGACAAGCCCAAGTTGAAAAATTTGAGATTGATGCTTGCATGATAAGTCATTTTACCAGAAAAATATATAAGTGTACCCTTTCCATATAAAATAAAAATATGATGTAAACCTCATATACGTCCACAAGTATCCAAACATAGCCCACTTGGAGTAAGGTAGAGGAGTGCACACAAATATGTACATACATACCTACATACATACACACATACATATATATCTATATATATAGAGAGAGAGAGAGACCAGGTTTTGCACGAACAGGCATCCATTGATCAGAGTCCCTTGCTGACTCTTCTTCTGACCACCTAGCCCATGTCAAAGTGTCTTTAACCTCGGCACTGGCCCCAGCATCAACATCAATGCCCAACTGTTTCAGCAAAGCTTCAGTATCATCTTCTTGCTTAATATCTTCATTCTCAATTTCCTCATCAAACTCCTCAGCTGTCACATCATTGTTAGCAATATTTTCAATATTTGTGCTAGTTTTCTTACTTTTGGACAATGGTTCTGACCAGCCAGTCCAACCACCCTCATCATTCTTATCTAAACCCTCCTCTTTCATAACTCTCTGCCTATTTTCTTCTTCTTTTTCCAACCACATCGACCAACCAAGGGCCCCTTCTTCCCCAACTCGTGCATCATCACTATCCCAGAAGTGCTTAAATAGTCTCTGCTTACCATGCTCATTTAAGAATAGAGAAGGGCAAAACAAACTAAATTCAATTTCAGCTTGAAATAAAGCAGTGGCCAACTCCTGGTGCCCAGTCTGCCACTCAAATCTACAGAGGGAAAGAAATATATCGACCAGACCAAGCTCCAGATGGACCATAGCAGAGTCAGGACGTTTACTTGTTTGATGAATCTGCATCAAAGTGACCGTGCATAAAAACCAAGATAAAGAAACTTGTCTTATTTTGAATTAGTTTCTTGCAATATCAAAGTCCATAAAATGTAAAAGCCAGGAAAAGACTGGAAAATGAATGCTGATTAAAGATATCTAATTCATATCAACTAATAGTATCAACAAACGCATGAACAACAAAGAACTAACAAACAAGCCACTGTTATTTTTATGGGCTCCACACATGACATTAAATCCAGATGAGTATTCCCAAACTTCGACAATTGGTACAATATTTCAAGGTTAAATCAGTTCATAGCAGAGTCATTAATGAAGGATTCTCTGGAGTTATAGGCCCTTCTGCAAAGTGACGATTTTTCAAGGCACATTCTTATCGAGGACATTTTGGTGATTTGTATCAGTTTGGAGCTTGCTGATAGTTGATAGGTTCCTTTCTAGGTTCATGCTTGCCCTCTAAACCATTATCAAGGCAATTTAAGTTTGAAAGATATCAGAGGCCTAATTCTAGAGGTATGAACCAACATAGAAAGTGATTCAAGTTTGAACACATTTTACGCAAATGATGTAGTCATGGAGGGGCAACTTTTTTATGACATTTATTATGCAATTTAGCCAATCAGAAGCTTTCACCTCCAAGGACAAACTTGTTCTGTCATGCAATTTCTAGAAATGAAGGTTACTCTGGTAACCTATTCAAGGAAAGATATAAACTCCTAGTCATCAACTTATGAGTTCTGCTAATAGGCATTGGTATCAATACTCAGGACCGAGTAATGAATTATTATTTTGTACTAAATCAGGCATCAACTTGCATTATCTGCTCAAAAGAAATGACAGAGTTATAACATCACATGACCAAATCAGCAAACTTAGCAATCATAAATGCAATGCTGGACATAAAACTTGACACAATACATAATCGAGGCATTACTTGACAGCAGTTAAATAAAAAACAATAGAAAATCAATCACAAAGAGAATATCATTCATATTACAACCAGAAGAAATAAAGTAAAAAACTAAAATGCACTAAATTAAGAACCTGCCTAAACTGCTTGCTGAAGGTAGCAGATAGAGCTTGGATTGCATGTGCATACATTTTTCTCATATCTGAAACCTTAAATCTGGAGAACTCCCCTTGAACAACATGCAAGAATTCTTTCCACAACACATAACTGCCTGAATGCTGCCTAAGTATGCTTTGCCATCTCCCAACTAACACGTCAGTATTATCCCTTTTTTGATAGGCCTTCATAAGACAGAGCAAGAGTTGTTCATTATCCGGATTAAGCTCAGTTGCCTTCTCAAGTATGCTAATCTTCTTTTCAAGAGTCTGTAGGCGAACACCTTTCTGTCGTTGCATACTGGCAACCTTGTCCTGGAACTCTGCAAAAGCTAGCCATGCTTTTTCATCATGAGGATGCTCCCTAGTCAATTTGTTGAATTCCCGTGTTTTGCGTAGCACTTCATCCTCCCAGGATTCTTCAATAATTGAATTGTTTGAGATTGAACTTTCATCATCAAGTTGATCTGATGATTGACTATCTGATAAAGGAATGAAATCAGCAGGAACAAAATGTGAAGAATTTTTGGGGGCAAAAAGGCGAAGGCGCTTTAAGTTGTTATGGCGCTCGAGGGCAGCATTGTTGGGAGACCAGTATCGACCAGCAGACTTTAGTTTAGTATCCAGGGCATCAATATCAGCATCCTTATCAAATGTTGAAGCCCTCTGAGTCCAACGGTACAACCCTTGGGATAAAAATGCAGATAATTGTTGAGGGCTATAAAGTTTATAGCGTGGAACATCCATCCTGCAATAGAAAATGATGGAAAACCAAATGTTAAATGTTTCAGATTTGGCAGTTTGGTCGTTAGGGGAATCAAGGCAAGTCTTAAAACACTTAGCTACTTTTTCATCAAATTTTTCTCTGACATTACACAGCGAAAACAAGTCCAACAGGGAGAAGCAGAATCAATACGAAATTCAACAATGAAAAGCCAAATTTGCCGGAGAGAATTAAGGTAATATCAGATTTTCAATTTATGCGACCTGTACTTTGATTCCTAAAACAAAAGGTGAATTTTGGACAAAATATAAACAATACTGTTGAAGAATTGAGATTACAAATGCAGTAAAAAATTTTCAAGACAAGATACATAATTTTACATAGCAAGTATAGAGCAGTTATATAAGCACGTAATTAAAGTAAGAACTGGTACTGCATTTCCCATAGCAAGAGACGGAGCCTAACAAAACGAGAGAAGGAATGAAGAGAGATAGAGAACCGGTAGAGAGAGCCGTAGGCCAAGTTATCATGATCTGGATGAGAATCAAAGTAATAATCTTTAGCATGAATGGATTTGGAATCACCAAGTTCTTTCAACATCCTTCGCTTCTTATTCCTCTTCTTACTCTTTTTCTTATTCTTTTGTCTCTCGTCGTACTTTTCTCCATCAGAATCAGAATCTTCCTCATCGTCTTCTTCTTCCTCAAGTAGCTCATAAGAATGGTAATTCTTCTGCTGCTGTTGTTGCTTTCCTCCTCCATCTTCATCTTCACCTTCATCTTCCTCCTCTACGTTCAGGGCGCGGGGAAGGGAGGAAACGGCGTCGTTAATGAGGGAAAGGTCGCTGGTGAAGCTAGGGTTGCAAAGCCATTCAGGGCCGCTCGCAGTAGCAGCTGTAGTAGCAGTAACAGAGGCAGCGGCAGCGCCGGCGGCAGGAAAGAGAGGGAAGAGAGAGGGCCTTGGGTCTTGTGGGTTTTGTTGGTCGTCCATTGCGTTTGCGTTTCCATCCATTTTTCGTATCTACCCCCTCACCGCCGCTTGTATACATTTTCTAATTTTCCTCATGAAAACGATGTCTTTATGGCCGAGCGCACGTGGAGCAAAACTGACCCGCACTTGTGACCCAGTTGGACTCGTTTACCCGAACCCCAACCCGAACTAATTTGATATAAAACATCAACAAATTGAACAACTCCTGCACGAACTCCGATCAACTCGACCAACAAATTAACAAAATTAATAAAGATAAATAAGAATATATATGCACCATGAAACAGGTTTGTAGAAATTTATAAACAATTGATATTAAAAATTTAGTATAAAATTTTTAAATCAGTAAATATCAAAAATTATTTATTAATATTAACAAATTTTCATATTATAGTGGTTATAAATTGTTTAAAAAAATAATTAAAATAATGTATTTGTTATAATGCAACCCTAAAAGGTGGATTATCCAATAAAAAGCTACCCCATTTGATAGATTCTATCACACGACAACTGTCATTATTGTAGAATCATAAAATTAGATGGAATAAAAACATAAACAGTTTGTCAAGGATATTCTTCAATTCACCATCAAGCCCAACCACAGAATGCAAAAAATTTTCTCAACAATGCCTCAAAATAGAACAATCACAATAAAATTCAATGCATCCCATACGTTAATTATGATTTTTTCTTGTTTGTGAATATGTCAATAAAGAAATGAGGTAAAGTTATTTTTAATTTTAAAGCTCGGTTGCATTGAACAAATTATACATTATGTAAAAGGTTAGAAAATAACATAAAAGAGTGTAGGAGTAATAGACAAGAGCGAATTCTATAGTAAGATCAAGATATTTGCCCTTAGTATAAGGTCAATAAATAATGACCATTTGATTTATAAGATAAAACCGCAACCATGGATTAAAAGCCAATATCAAAACCGTTAAACACAGTTAACCAATTTCTAAGAAAAAATAAAATTATAAAAATTTAAAGAGTCTAAGAAAGATGAGGACTCTCCCTAAGAGAAAAGTTTACTCAATGTATTTTTTATGATAACAAAACATTCTTTATTTATTAATGTCTAATTGCATTACTTAAATGTGTAAGATAAAGTTTAATTCTCTAAATAAACCTGATGTTTAAAAGCAAGTCAAGAAACTTGCTCATTTAGAAGATAATTAATTAAAGATGAAAAAACTTAGTAAAAACAAAATGTTGTTAATTAAATAACGTGAAGCTTTAATCAGTTAAGGTAAAGTTAGGTGCTACACTTAAAAGGAAAATAAAAAGGCTTTAATTAGTTAGCATTAGACTTAAATAAACGAGGTAGTACTAGGTGCAAAATAGAAAGTTGCTAATCGATTGATTAAAAGGATTAATTGGTTAAAGCTCATGCTTGAAGTAACCCAAAGGGTCAAAATTCAAATTCAAAGTGATGATTCAGCATTAAAGAGCACCAAAGGAGGAGATCCAAATTTAAAGATTTCTTAATTGGTTGAAGCATATTTTAATCAGTTAAGGATAAAGAAAGATAAGTTTCAATCAGTTAAAGAATCAACTAATCAGTAGAAAGAAAGCTAGCCAAATACAATGCTTGACGGTGTTTCAAAATAGAAAGTTCTTAATTGTTTAAAATTTCTTTTAACTAGTTAATATAGTGAAGAGAACTACTAGACATTGCAAGTTAAAGAAGGCTTAATCGGTTAAAGTCTACCTTTAACCAGTTAATGAAGCATTGTTTACACTTTTGAATTTAAGTACAAAAGGACAAAATAGCGATTAGAATTGAGCCAAAACTATTTCCAACAGGCAAAATTTGTCTTCAACAACCAAATGTGATCTTCCAAGCATAAAAGCTCCTCTAATGGTTAAAAAAAGGTTTAAGAAGTTCCAAAGAGTTTGAGAGAGCTGAAAAGAGAAAAAATCTTCTTTTATACACTTATTTTTCACTCATATCCTTTTGTAAAGTGTTTGAGCTTAAACTTGTACATTTTAAATTAGCTAGGTGATCAATTGTGCTCCATCATTTCTTCATATCTTGATTAATTAGAGCGTATAAGGCATTCTAAAGGTTGTTGTAAGGGTTTAAAACTTGGGTTAGAAACTCACATTGTAAAAGCTTAGTAAAAGCTGTCACTTCTACTAGTTTAGTAAAATTGAGTTAAAAATCTTTGATTGGAAGATCAAGGGAGCGGATATAGGTCCACGGGACCAAACTACTATAAATGTTTGTGTTTTGTCCACTTCTCTTTCACTTCTCTTTAACTTCTTTGTACTTGGTGCCTGATAATTATATTTTATAGAATTATTTTAGTCTCATTTTGTTATTAAATATTAACTAAGTCCGTAATTTTTAATTATAATTTTGTTAATTTTAGTTATTTTTATAATTAATTTATTTTTAGTGAGTTATTTTAATTCTATGTTTATTTACTTTAGTTTGATTATTATTTATTAGTTTTTATGCTTTTGTAGGATTTAAGGGAATTGGGTTTAATTTTGGAAAGGAAGATGTTTGAAGGACCCAAAATTCTGCTTGCATATGCTACAATATTTTGATCATAACTTGCACTCTGGATGTCCAAATGATGCAATTAGATGCTATTGGAAAGCTAAGAGATAGAGGTACAACTATTATGAAGACCATTCTTAGTTCTGCTTTGAAGTTAGAGAAAATTATGTTGGAAGATGACAAGGTGTAATGCTGCGGGAATGCAAAATTTGAAGATGATATTTGATGTTTGGGCCTCATTATACTTTTAAGCCCAAAAGTTGAGTTGATAGTTTAATTTAGGGAATTTTAGGTTAAGCATGGTAGTATAAATAAGATGTTTTAAGAGACATCGAGAGAACCCTTAAAGATTCAAGAAGTTAAAAGTTAAGGCGGAAACTCAAAAAGTAAGAATGCAATTAATCGTTTTGTTTTCTTTTTTAGCTTTTATTTTTCTTATAACTCTCAATGGTTAAAATTTATATAATGTTATTTGTCTTTGCAATTATAAGTAGCTATTTTTATTTTTCTAAGATTGCAATTGAACTCATATAATCTAAATTTTTAATCTATTTTTTTGCTTATCTTTAATAGGATTTGAATTGTTTATTGTAATTTATTTTTAATGCTCTTTAATTGATTGGCCACCAATTAAATTAATTTAGGAACTTAAACAAACTTGGAAAAGAGAGTTTAGTGTAAACTAAAATTAAAATAGCATATGATCATATTAATTAATTTGCTTATAAGATAGAGATATATTTATGTGCCATATGTGACTAGATTAGAACTTGAACTTAATGAGTTTATTTTAATTTTAATTCATATAGACATATACTATTTTGATTAAAATAGATATTTTTATAAGATGAGTCGAAAGACCCTTATAAATAATTAAAGACTCTAGATTAACAATTCAACTCATTGAAATAAAGAAGAGAGATAATATTTAAATGAAATGTGAAAGATATTATAATCCTAGCTTGTTTGATTAGACTTTTACCCAAGTTTTTATTACTTTGATTTTTTTTAAAATTTTGGTTAATTATTTAGTTGATTAATTTAGTTTTTTGATTTTGATTGTTTCGATAAAATTAAATTGTTCTAATACTAAGTAATATTCTAGATCAATTCTCTATAGGATCAATACTCTGTTTACCATTATATTATCTTTTCGATATGTATACTTGCGTAAATAGAAATTTAACTAACAATGCCTTTCAGCTTCAATAAGTTTTTAACCTCCCATTTCAATTATACAGAAATTTTAAAGTTTAAAAGTTGATTTCAAAATATCTTTTAAGTGTTATTCACCCTCTCTAGCATTCTATTGGGGCCAATAAGTGGCATCAAAGCCTAACCTTTAATATTAAAGGCTTAACATCCTTAGAGGAGATCCAATGGCTATGCAAAAGTCTTATGTTGCCTTAGGTTAATTCAGAAATAGGCTTTCTCTATTTGATGGAACAAATGACCCATATTGGAGCATTAAAATATCCATTTACATTTTAAGTTATGAGATGTGGGATGTGATCACTCAAGGTCCTTACATTCCCACTAGTGTGAACTTTATCTCTAGTGAGAAAATGCCCAAGGCTAGAAAAGAGTGGACTAAGATAGAAATAAAAAAAGTCTAAATAAATTTCAAGGCCATTAACATTCAACATTACAAACAAGCTCAAACAACTTGGCAAACTCTTCTCATAACATGAATTAGTAAAAAGACTACTTAGAAGCCTTTTAAAAGGCTAAAAACATAGTCACTGCTATATGAGAAGCTAAAGACCTTAACACAATAACTTTTGATGAAATTTGTGGGTTTCTTCTCACATATGAGCTAGAATGAAAGAAAAAGAAGAAGAAAGAGGAGAATAAGAAGAAAAAGAAAATAAGGAAGCTAAGGAAAAGAAGAAAAATTTTGCTTTAAAGGTAAGTACATTTAAAAAAGTATTGGAAAATCTTTCAATTGATAAAGATGAAGAGCTGGCTATGATAGCTAGAATATTCAAGAAGATCATAGGGCAAAGCGATTGAAGATTTAGAAAAAGAAATCAAAGAAAGGATCAAGGTTTTTCATGGAAAAACAAATACAAAAATGAGTCCTATAAAAAAGGATGAGATGGTGTGCTTTAAATGTAAGAAACTAGGTCACTTCAGATCCAAATGTCTATAGCTCAGGGAAGAATTCTCGAAGAAGAACAAGAAACCAAAGAAGACAATGGTGCTTGCAACTAGGTTAGATAGTGATTCTTCTAGTTCAGAGGATGAGAAAGAAAACATAGAAGAAAAAGCCAACTTTTGCTTAATGCACAAAAGGTGAACAACCCGAGGTAAATTCCAATTAATTTGAAATTTTTTTATGATGAATTTCAAGATGAGTATTATTTGCTTTATACTTTTAAATCAATCTTGAGTTTTGAAATGATAAAAAGAAAATTATCAAAATTCATTTAAGTCCTAAAATATCAAGTCTAGACATCTTTTAACACTTTCAAATGAGTTTGATAAGAAGAATAGTGAAAAGGGACTTTAAAAAAATGCATTCTGGTTTAACTTT